TTTAGGTTATCTGTAGCCCTTTCAATGCAAGACATGGAATAGCTGTATCTGAGATATTACGGAAAGCAGGCAAATCGACAGATGAACAAGTAAGTTCCCTTTTGTTTTTTTTAAATACTCGACATCACGGCAAGGCGCCTGTTTCTCTGTGAAATCCTATGAAAAGCAAAGATTTCAACCAAGCTGATGACGTAGTGACAGAATTCAAGAACCTATTTTATATATCTCTTATAGAGGTCTTTCCTAGGCAGCAGGATAAGTGGGGGGGGGGGTTGGGGGTAACGCTGCGAAGCAACAGCTACGGAATATGTTTGGAACCTGATGATAAACGCTTCGGAACTTCTGTAGACGAGGAAGAGGTGGCGCTGAGGCTTTACAGAGGCCGTTGCATAGTAAGAGCAACCCGTTTGGTAGCCGAAACCTCTGTCGGATCTACTGCGCAACACTGGCGCTCACAAGCCCTCAGAATTCAGTCCTTCTTCATTTGGTTCTTACTGTGTTCGGCGGCGTACAAGTGCGAAGGCAACGCTGATTCAGCCTCAGACGCTATGAAACAACAACATTTGGCCAAAGGTGGGAACTTGTGATGAAGAAGTGAAGGATGAGCCACTTGGCACATGATCGTAGCGGTCACAGCTTACTGTTTTGGCTGGAAAGCCCGGATAGTAGAGAAATAAAGGCGTAGTTAAATAGAGCCTTTGCTGGATACAATTATCCCACCGATAACGTCATTTTTCCAGCCGAAGAAATGTACGGTACGCCACAGTTTTGGATGGTTCCAGATCGAGCTGGGAAGAATTCAGGTATGGTTTTCTGTTTTGCGATGATTTTCGAAAGGAATATTACCTTATTTCCTGGGGAATAAGGTGCACTATAGTCTGAGGGGGCACCGAATGGTACTTAGCAAAGCCTATAGAGACCACCCTTTGAAGGCCTGTAGATTCCTGTGACCAAAATGGCTCACTTGTACCATTTGCTGCTTTACAAGGGTTTACAGGTCACACCTTGGCGGATCAGTTACTTAACATAAACTAGCAGGAGCGAGCGAAAGTCGGAAGTGCAAATTGCACCTCCCAAGCCGAACAGCGCCATTCATTCAGTTGCAGGGTCGCGACAGCGCGCGAACAGTTTCTGAACGTAGCAACAGCTTCTTTGTTCTTTTTTCACATATTCTAATCTCCTAATTGTAATTAAAAGCAGTGGGCACGATGGCTAGACCGAGTGGTCAACGCCAACGTCATTGATGGAAGAGTATGTGGTCAAAAGCCCTCAGCCGTTCCACCACTGACTTTGGTAGTAACCGCTCGCCCCTAACCATTGTGCCTCTGCCGCTGATACACCTATTAGTCAAAATAGAACAGGCAGAAACCCGCAAGATAAAAGCTAAAAAATTTCCTCTGCTTTCGAGGTGAGGGTGCGGCTTATACACAGGTACTGCTTATACCCCAAAAAATAGAGTAATGGGCTAGCTCAAGAGCAAGTTTCACATGGCTACGTTTCTCAGGTTCATGTTATGGGTGAAGAAGTACGTCAGCGTTTCGATCTGGAGTCCTTTGTGGGGCTTGAATGATGTGATGGACGAGGAAGAAGAAATTCCATTGATACCGCCTCCAAGGGAAGGCATTTAGGGTTCTGGTAAAATGATTTTTGCATTGGATCTTTGTCGGTCCTTACCT